GTTTTTGTTTTCTTGTGTTAGAATTCACAATCATATTATCCAGAGTATGAGTTACCGAGCTGTGATACCATTCATTCGATTTTGTTGTCTTTTGTATGTATTGCTTTAAAATTTATCTATTTCTTTCTCATCAGATGTTTTACATGATAATAGAAGACTGCTCACGTCTTAGTCGAGCTCTAATACTATTCTTAAATATACTATTAATATACTTCATATGAGTTCATTGAGATAATTAGTTGTTTGATGCATTTTGAATTATAAGTCTCTTTGTTATCAATCATGAGCCTTTTCATTTTCCATTAATGAAATTCTATTTGTTATTTGTTTAATTTTTGATACTATATTTGTCAAATGGATTCAGTTTAAATGTTTTGTATAAGAAGTTGTTTAAAGTTTTTTAATTTACTAAATTTCTGTGGCATCTTGAGAATATTTCAACAATTAGATTAACATCATTATAGGAAGGGCAAACTTATAATGTATCTCATGCTTTTATTTTGTAGTTTTTTCTATTTAAAATAAAATAATACTTTAGCTAAAGTTGTCGCTGAAAGGCTATTTTCTTGTTTTTTTTTTAATAAACATTATTTTCCTTATTTTTCTTTACACTTAATGAAGGATACTTGTCAGTAGTTGAACATCTTAAAAATATATTTAAGCCTTTTTCGAATTAGAAATTTTCACTAAGATTTCCAAAAATAACTTCTATACAATCCACTACTCCTTATTAATTATGGTTACAATTATGTTATTAATAGTTGCTATTCTAATATTGGTTATTTTTATCATTAATCTTATCCTAAGTTTTTCATCTTCAAAAACAAGCCAATTTTCATCAGAATTATCGAAATGTTTTACATCTTCTTTTTTGATGATTTCTATCATTATCTGCTTGAAAAATATTCTGTTTTCAGAAAAAGCAGAATATCTTCTTTTTTCTTTGTTTATGCTCTTTTGATCACGCATCCCAGAATTCTCGAAGGCGCTTCATTGTAGTCAGTTGATTTTTTTTTGTTTGAAAAAGCATGTCAAGATGCAGAGAACATGACAATGTCTTTTTTCAATTAAGGATTGTTTCTATTATATTAAAGAGTGCTTATATTATTAAGGCACTATTTTCTGAAAATTTTTCGATGCATTCAACTTTTCAACCCCTAAAAAGTAAGAGTTTAAAAACAAAGACTTTATCATGTTCTGCATCTTAACATGCTTTTTTAAACAAAAAAAACACTGTTAGTGTGGTCCCAGGAGAATTAAAATATAAAATATGATGTAGTTGCTGTTGCTGTTGCTAATTATAGAAAGATTGTTTTGTTTTATCGATTTCGGGACATGTTTTCTCACTATCCTTTTACTTAATTCTCAAGCGATACAATAACAAAGTAGTTTATATGGTATAACGAGACATTATTAATATTCGATCTTAGACCGCATATCAATTACGTCAGACACGATCTATGTCAGAAGAGTGTCCACATTTTTATTCTCATATTTCCATACTCATTTTAGATCGTGTTTTACGAAAAAAGATAAGTATATAAGAAGGAAGATCCACAGAAAATTTTGTATCGTCAAATGAGCTATTTTTAACTTTCATTTGTCAATATCCTTCGAAAACGCCATGTTATAGAGCTGAAAATTTCATGGGATGTGAATATATCTGATAGAAGATCAACTTTTTACGGAAGAGGGCGAAGTTCAATTGTCTGTCTTCTGCACAATGGTAGAACTTCTTATCGAGCCAATGCTATTTGTTGTTTATTCATTATTATTTACTAAGCTTAACAATAAGCATAAGTTGAGACAGAGAAAACATATGTTTGCTCATTTAACCATTTGTATGCACGACGAAACATCTTATTTAATTTCTTGACTTACATAGAATGTCAAAATAAAAAAACCAGCCATGATGAGAATAGTGTGTTGAGTACAAATGTAATATGGATGTTCATTGATGTCGACATGATTATTTAGTTTTTTATAAGAATAAAAAAGAAGTTGCAAAAATAGGTTTAAAATGTGATAACACTAACTATGAAAACCATATCTGAAGATAATCAGTAAAGAAGAGAAGACATTCTTTAGCTTGTCTATCCATCGAATGTTATCCTAGTATTTCTTTTCTTCACTGATTAAGCGATGCAATTTTTCTATATGAAAATTTGAATAATTTGTGATTTTTGTCGGTTACTATGATAAAAATAATTAATCCATATTTGCGACGTTATATTACTGCTAGTCTGTTTAGTGTTTTATTATAAAATGCAAACAAAACACTATTTTATAATTTCTTTCTTGAAAAAACTTTTTTTTTTAAACTTCTAGTTCTTTTACCTAGAGCAATGAAAGCCATTGCCTGTTGGTTGTTTGACAAAGATTTCATTTCTTTTTATTAAATTTTCTAGTTCTCAACGTTCATGATTAATAACTTATGAACGATATTTCATTTCATTCATTATAATTATACCTTTATCATATTAGTTTCTACTCATTATGATCAATCTTACGCATACGATACCTTAAATCTTAACAAAGGAGTGTAAGAGAGAACATAAAAAACATTGGTTTGCTCGCATTTATAATTTCATATCGATAAAAAATGTTGGACATGCCTTCTGATCTTTTTTACATTATCAACTTTTCATGCGCAATCATAATTTCAATTATTGGTTTAATATTTAGTTTTACACTTGTAATGATCATTATTACTAATCGAAAATGTCACAATATGTCTAACTTACTTGCATGCAATACATCGGTTGCTATAATTTTCTATTTAATCTTGGTTATTTCTGCATCTATATATGGTTTTCGTCAAGATTGGGCATGGAATTCACTATTATGTATTTTGCGAGCGTATTCTTTTATCGTTGCATTGGGGGCTATTTGCTATTCATTTTCAATACAATCTCTTAGTCGTTTGTTTTTTGTTATTCATTATAAATTAAAATATCTTCTTACATGGCGTACACATTCAATTATGATTATTTCTAATTGGCTTATTAGTTTATTAATTCCAATAGTACCTCTATTTATTGATGAAAGTCTTGGATTAGAAAAAGAATCACGTAGTTGTATATTAAAAACTAATGCATTTACAGCAGCAATATTTTGTATGATCATGATCATTGGTATACCATTGAATGTTAGTACTATGATTTATTGTTCTATTTTATATCATGCACGTCAATCAATTCATCGAGTTCTACGTTTTGATCAAAATATGAATAAATATAAGACAATACATAATGCTAAACGTGAGGTAAAGATTGTACAAATTTTACTTGTTCAAACTGCTGGTACTTCATGTGGTGGAATTATTTTTCTAATTAATGTTTTCTGGCAAGCATTATCAGAAATACCTCTACCAAAATATATGTTTTTATTAGGAGTTAATTTAACAACAATAAGTGTTTCATTTATGAGTATTGCACATTTTATGTTAAATACGCAAGTAAAAAAAATTGCGTATCGATACTTGTGTAATTATTGTTAATTTAAGATTAATACAATAATGTATGTATGTAGAATTAGTGTTTCATTGATATGATGATACTCATAGTGTCTGATTTGAAAAGTTAGAAAAATATTTTTCGTTTGCATCAAATATTTTAAACTAATTTTACTGGAATGATGAAAAATGAAAGAAAAAGTGTTTTTTTTTCCAATTTGCTAACGAAAAAGATGAAATGAATTTTTTCTTCGATTTTATAATATAAAGAATAATTATTGATCTTGTTGGAAAGTTATGAAGATAAATTCAATATTTTATGGTATTGATTTATCATTGATGTAAGGTAAATTTTCACATCATGTTTCAATGAATCTACCAACGAAAAATAAGCCGTTATTAAAACATTGATTTAAAAATTTTCTAACAACGAAGATTACTCTAAAAAGTACTATGAATTGTTATTCTACCAGTCTATACCGATGCTTGTATACATAACCATGCATTCAAGAACAAAACATAAAAACAAACAGGTTCTCTCTTCAACAACAATGCAAAATCTTTCTAAAATCATTACTAAAATTATGTTAATAGTGTGTCTCACCAATTCTCCTAAATGTATTAGTTTATGTATGATTAGTCTAAAATAATACTTAGATATATTTTCGTTATTTTTGATGAAGAAATTTTATTATGATAGAAAAATGAACAAAGTAAGAGATTTCGTATGTTTACAATTGATGTAAAAAAATGTTTGTCTATACCTACCTACTAGAGTCACTACAATTGTGGTATTTTTTATTTGTCATAAAGTGGTTATTCAAAATATCTGAAAAGAAAAAAAAATATTTTACAGGCATTGTATGATTTTCAATTTAACTCTTAATAAATTGATCATTTTTTCAAGAGAACAAAATTATAGAAATTTATTAATGATTTTTTCGATTAGTTTAATTCCATGAAGTTCCCAACACCTTTCTGGAAAGTTGGTTTTGTTAGACTTTCATAATCTAACTTAATACAACATTAGCAAAAACACTCTTCGATAACAATTTAAATTTTTTTTAACGGTGTAGATGCCGATACCGATGTAGATTTTTTCATATCGACGCTTTTTATGTATCGAATGATTTCGTCGTCCTAATGATTAATAGTATTTACAACATCGTCAATAGCTTTCTTCATTCATTGGTTCTTCACATTTGCGCTTCCCCGTTATCAACCTTTTGTTTTCTCTCTTCACCTGTTTGTCTTTCTCTTAAAACTCGATTCACTTCGCATTCGCATTTATCTTCTCGTCAGATAACGAATACTGCTTCTATCTTATTTTTAGTTAGAGGTAAGCAGGCAGCTGACGAAGAGAATGATATCATAACGAGGAGAGACCTATAAGCTAGCTCTTTTCTATCCACATTTCTTTCTGTTTTGCAAGGCTAAGTATTCGGCGCTTTAACTATCTGCTACTCTCTCTGTATCAATTCCCATCTTAAATTTACGTTACTTCGTTTTTGTCTTCGACAATTCCCTTTTCCCTTATCCTTATTCGCATTCTGTTTCTGCATGGAACTCTTTTCACTAAGACTTCTCTACTTTGATTGCTCCTTTTCATATTGAACTAAGTTCAATGTCTTCGCTTGTCTGAAAGTAAGTAGATCGGTGAAGGGAGAACATAACTCTTGTTACTCGAAAGTGTTCTTGATAGTTTACTCTCATTGATAGATTCAGACTGAACTTATTTCCTATGCGATAAAAATTGGCGGTTTAGGACGGTTTTACCGATCCAGTTATCGACTTTCATTGCTGCAATTAACCGTGGTAAACCGTCAGTTTTGACAAATACTGCGGTTTACTGCTAAAGATGATCCAGTTTTTGCGACATGGGTTTTCATTTTGAACTTGTCTATATTCTTTAACTGCTCTTTACCTTGCATCGCATATACATGCTACATTTTCTTTTACGATCTTCTTCCTAAAAGTGGTTTTCTTTATCGTCTAAACCTTTTACTCACGTTTTGTTTTTGTCTTCCATGATGTACTCATTACTGAAAAACTCATTTTTGACTAGTTTTTGCTGATATTCAAAAAATCTCAAGTTTTAGTAACTTTTCTGATTTTATATTCGGATTCAGGGAAAACTTTTACATCTAATACTTTGTCAGTCACGAGATGTATCACAGAGCTTTTTTCACGAAAACGAAAAGAATTGCGCTAAATTGTCGCATTCTCACTATAAAACTTAATATGACATTTCTAAGTATTATATACGTGACCAGTATAGTTGATTGCTTGCCACTACCCAAGCAGCCAACCATTTTCAAAAATGCCTTTAAACGCACAAAAAAGGGCTTAAAATCCATAAAAAGTGGACGTGTTTGGCTCACAATCGCGGTTCCCGACTGTCAGCAAAAAAAACGGTGATAAACGCGTGTAAACGCATAAGACGATCATAAAAAATTGTCATCTTTTTCATACTCATAAATCACAACCATAATTACAATCACAGTTTACGAAAAGGAAAAAGATAACTACTTTTTATGTTCTTTTTATGCGTTTATACGAGTTTACAAGCGTGTTTTTGCTGAAAACGCGTTTAAACGCACAAAAAGGGCAAAAAGTGGTCGTTTTTCGCTGACAGTCGGGAACCGCGATTGTGAGCCGAACACGTCCACTTTTTATGAATTTGAAGCCCTTTTTTATGCGTTTAAAGGCGTTTTTGAAAATGTTTGTCTGCTTGGGTAAGTGGTTCTGAAAAAAATTTAGAATGAAAAGTTTTCCATAGCGCTGTAGAAGACCATAAGCTTGAAAAGTCCAACCGAGAGATTGCATGAAACTAACAATTCTCCAAGGGTTCATGATGTCATTTAGAAGTAAAATGAGATATTGGAATTTTTATTGAATTCTCCCTCTAACTGTCAAATTTTCAGTGTAATCATTTTTTCGAATTTCAGCCTGAAACTTTATTCTTATAAAAAGAATTTTACTTAGTGTAATTTGTGTACAAAATTCAAAAGACTTTTGGATATCGCCTCTTCAAGATGTGCATTTTCCAAGTATTGGTCTTTCACGGTATGAATAGAAAGGCATCTAAATTTAAAAGCATGGAAATCTCGAAGCGATTAGATCCGAAAGTTCTGAAATTGTTTACAAAAGCTAGACTAAGTGAGACTTTTGCATAGAAAAAGTTTTCAATCGGAATTTGAAAATTTGATTCGATGGAAAAATTGAGAACTAGAGGAAGAATTTAATAAGTAGTCAGTAATGTCGAGTAAACTACAATATTAATGATAACATGAATGTTTCAGAGATTGTTCTAGTATATTTGTCGCCTACAGTTGGGTAAAATATGAGCTTAAAAGCTTTTGATCATTTAGAAACCTCCCCTTCGTGAGTAGCAGCATATGTTTCTTGTCCTATTCCAACATCGTTTCAAGGCAGAGAAGCCGAAAATTTTTGCGAACCAAGAAAGGATCTTATACATCATTTGTTTTTCGATTAATAATATTTTATTACAGACAATCGATATTTTGAACGTTTCGGAAGCAGTTTGTATGAGAACAAAATCGTGACTCGATAATAGAAGGATAATTCTCTTACTCTTTCTCTATTAGACTGTCTCTATATAAACAAAAATTGTTTCACCAATATTAAGATAGTCATGTTGCAAAACTGTTATGTTATCATTTCTACTACGATAAAATAAGCCTACTACAACTCCCCAAAAATGTATCTTTCTCTTGCAGTTAAGATAACGAATAAATGCGCAAATCGACAAGTTTCTGGATGCTTCTAAAAGCAAACGCCATGCGTTTATTGTCTACTTTATAAAATAACATGCAAAGATAAAATATCCAACATTTTATTGTTTTTTTGCGTGCTAGCCGACGGTAGAAAAGAATTATATCTGCAAACAAAAACATTACATCGTTCCTATTCCAACTACAATAGTGTTTTACCGACTCGTTTTAATTTACTATTGGCACCAAAATATTTAGTATGAGCATGGATGTTTTTTCCATGTCTCTGAGACTGGCGTAACTAAGAAACTGGTAGTATAGAAAACTATTTTCTTCATGATCACGCATGTTCTCATAGTAGAAAGGAGTAAAAGGACAAAGTTCTGAAAACTTCAGCTAATAACGAGAAATTCTCGATACAGAAAATCCACCTGAAAAGTTTCAAAATGTAGAGGAAAAGTTTTGAATGCAAAATTTCGACTTTAGTCTGAGTTTCTAGAGACCTTCGAGTGCTTTGGTGTTGCTAACCTAATGAATTTCGCCATTTGAATACTTTCCACATGCTGTTTTTTCCGAATAACGGAAACCACAGATCACGAGCTACATCTATTTCAGGTCTATTAAACAGACATTCTACAAAAAAAAAATGTAGATTTTCCCTATATTGAAGAGTCGTGTATCTTTCAGTTTGTGAGTTGAATGGTATAGAAAGATGGCTCACTTAATACCATACTAGAGTCGAAAAAACACTTGCTTCTAAAATTTTGTTGTTGATCATGCAGAGATAACTGACTGATAAGACTTCATTTCATATCCCTGAAAATGACGAAATATGGATGCCAATTTTATTTTAACTCTTCCCTGTTACGTTGTTGTTTTGGAAAAGAGACTATATAGTAATCGATAGAGTTTGCTTCATTCTACAAGATTGTACAGAAAGTTTTGTTCTCGTAGCTCAATGATAATTGTTAAAGTCGCAATATCCTGCTTTTGTCATGTACTTGATTTTTTCATTTCCTTTTCTCTCCAAGCTTCTACCAAATATGTTGACTTTTAGCAAGTTCCAAAAACCGGCACTATCAAAGTGTAGTGCATTCGATTCTGCGTCGAAGTTCACATTGGACTTTTTCTACCACTGTTCTTAAACGTTCGCGAATAATTACATTCAGAAGTGACATCTAGTGTGAGATATGTGAGGGAGTATGGACTTAGCTGTGTTTCGATCACCTTCACTCATACTCGACCACCCATAACAACACCATTTATCGTTTGAATAATTTTGATAGTGCTCGTTACTTTGATGAACTTATCAGGTAGTTAGGAAGGTCCGTGCAACTAATTCTAGACTACATTTGAAGAAGTTTCATCTGCACTATCGTGTAGAGTATATATATTCACTGGTGTACCTATGATTAGTGTACCTATGCTCTCTCTCTCGTGTCTAGTGAATTAGGAAAGTCGTTAGATTAAGAAACGCACAAGAGTTTACCGCATGCATCTAAGACTTAAATTATTTTCGGCTTTTAAGCATTATGTTTAAGCTTCTGTAAGTTTCGCGACCTAAGAAAGTTCTAGAACTTACTTGCCGAAAGCTAGCTGGAACATTTCAAAACATAAGAGCATCATAGAATGCGGAAAATGATTCTATTGAACACACAATATGACATTGATTACGAATGCGACCATTTGTCTTATTGTAATCCAATAAGTGCTCTTAAGTCAGAATGAGGTTTTCGTTAAATGAAATTACCATATTGAGCAGCTGATTTTTCTTGTTTTTGTGTTGCACCAGTGTTTGACTACAAGAAATGAACAGATGAATGAGAAGTTCTTTTGTATGTTTTTTTACATAACAGTTTGTTCAATAGTTTACCAGGAAAGTTATTAGGGATTCTTGAATTTAAATCTGAAAAGACCAATACTTAACTTCAGGTGAAACTACGGTAAGTGATGCCAACCAATCGATCGATCTGATAGTATTGCTGTTAAATACGGCAACGATTTATTTCATATGAAAAGTTTAGACTTATGTTATCCCAATATTGAAATATATTCGATCTAATAATTATTCTGCTCTCTAGACTATTCCCTGCTTGAACATAAATTATTATGGAATATTATTAAATTACACATAAAAATTAAAGTTGATCAAGGAGAGAGAGTAAGAAGAAGACAAGAATGTTAGTAATAATGTGAGAATGGCAATGAAGATGGAAAAAAGAGAAAAAGAAGAACAAGCAAATAAAGATATAGATTCGAGCATTCACAACGACATGATGGACAATGTATTTTCATCCACAGAACCCGATAACAATTTTGCATCGGAAAACACATTCAGGGCATCATCAACGAATTCAATAACGAGCGAAACGTCATATGTAGGCGATCCTGAAACGTTTCTTTCCTGTTCTACAGATTCATTAAACTATCAACCATCGACTAATCGAACTCGATCGAGACCTAGTCGTGTTCGCGAACGAGAACTCTCCTATCCCTCCCTTTCACTTTATCATTCGCCATCATCTTCATCACGGTTTCGTAAAACTCATTATTTAGATGATTCTGATGAAGAAATTATTCAAGAAGAAGTTCTTGAAGTGACCAATTTTAATCGTTATCCGACATTGATGGAACGTTGGGGTGATGATACGAAAACGAAGACTTGGCAAGAAGGTGATTTGAAGATCGAAGAAGTCGTTGAATTCGAAGAAGTTGAACCAACTGTTACTGAAGAAATCATTTATGAATTAACGTATGTGGGTGAAAATCTTCTATCGTGTCGACCAATCAGTCGATCTCGATCGGAATCGAGAAATTTTCGAAAAATTCGTAAGAAACGAATCAAACGTAAAATACAAGATACTGGTGACTCGATCGCCTCGATTGCCTCTAACTATGATAGAACATCAAAGTTGTTCTCGTCTAATGCTAGTGAGTCACGGTTGTCTTTTAACGATGAGCACGGCTATACTTCTGAACGATTGATTACACCAAGACGAACATCATCTTTTGCTTCTAGTTTGAACTCGAGTGACTTTACATCAGATAATGTCTTGTCTCCGAAAAAATACAATGATGAGATTTCATTGAATAACAATCGGCCAGATCAATCTGCAACTGATCTTAATCAGGAACAAAACTTTACCGATGACGTACCTTCAAATCAATCGGAGGCATTGTTTTTGCAGACACCTGTTCCTTTTTCGTTATCAGGGACTCTGTCTAACAAGAGTCAGTATCAAACATCGAACTATGGTACAAGCGATCAAGGAGCACCGACGTTATTCCACGAAATACGTGATTTTCTAAATCGAGTTACTTCGATGGCGATCGGTAGCTTTTCTGAGACATCATCGAACGAAGAAAATGCCACAGTGAACGAAACAGATACAATGACACCTGCAAACAGAGAAAAAAGTGGTTCCACACAAAGTACACCCACTCCATCGTCGATCGAGCCGAAACCAAATGAGATGATTGATGAGCCTCTCGGCAAACTTGTATCGAATATTTCACAAGATCAATCGATTAGCAAACCGTTGGCAACACACAATGATAAGTTTGCTGAGAAAAAATTGAAGATCCCTTCTGATCAAATAAATGTCAACATCAAAAGTACTCGTAAGTAAAAAAGTCAATGTTTTTGATGGTCTTGTAGCATTCAACTTTTTTTTTCTGTTTTCAGAAGAACAGGCAACATCAACTGATGAGAGAGATAAGAAGTCGAGAGAAGACTCATCTTGTGTCGCCCAAGAACACACATTGGAGTGTGGAAGTTTACATGAACTGAGCAGATTTCAACATCAAATTGATGAATTAAATCGCGACATCAATACGTTTGACCAACTGATAAAGACTAGTGGCGAACAAAAACACTCTGATCCAAATCAAGACTACATGAAGCAACAAGAACTCCTCACGCCTATTGACCAATTTGATACGAAGCAAATGAAGCTTGAACGAGGCAAACTATTCACTTTTCAAACGATCGACAGTCAAGGTGATCGACAATCGTTGGAAGAAACTTTCAAGAATGAATCAAGATCATCACCGAAATCTAATGAATCGTCAACTGAAATTCTCACTACTCAAATTCATCTACCGAAATCATACGAAGAAACACCGCAATCGATTACAGCCGCTATGAAGCAGAATCTCATCAGTACTTTAGGGACATCAGCAATGGAGACGGACGACAGAACACACCAAGATCGTCTGCCATCTGAGAGAGAATCTGACCTTCTGACATCAGAAATAACCATGACTTCTGTTATACCCGATCCAAATACTTCATGTAAAACACCTGTTACTACAGCATCAAACCTACGTGGTCAAGTCTTTCAGATGTCCGAACAAGAACAGGACGATGATAACGAAGTGTTTGAAGGAATTCCCGATCATAAACGAATACTGAAAAATCGGTCAGACTCTTTTGATGCATTATTTTCAACACCGTCAACTGACACAGATCGAATCTTATTGTTCAATACTGCCGATCCAATAATCCAGCATGTTTCCTCAGAACCATCCATCTCAACAAACCAACTTGAAAAACGTGTAGAATCACTCCAACTAATGTATCAAGATGATCGGTCGCAAGACACATTATCGATAGTCACAACAGCCACGCACGGTGAACAAGAAAACCTATCCATCACAGCACAATTCACTGCATCACCACCAACTTCTGTTAGCGAACCGGTCAAAGTATTGGATCTATCAGAGACTCTGAAAACTGTGAACCCATCGGCAATCGTCATCGCCCTAATGAAACGAATAATTTCAATGATAGAAGGCGGCGGAGCTGATATCGTAAGTCTTCACAGGTCTCTACCATCAGACAACACACCAGAGGAAATAATCCAAACTAGGGAGCCACCTTTCAGTACCAATACTTTTCAGGAATCACTTGAATCGCAAACAGCACTACCGGAAATATTGAAAATGGACAGATCAGAGATCATTGAATCAGACACTCCATCATCGACTGAATCCGATGTTTCTGCTGATTATCAACTTCATGCAGCTTCAGACGAGCTCGGTGCCCATCAAGATGAAAGTCAAGAAGTAACTAAATCCGATGGCGAGATCAACGATGAAAACGAACAGAAACAGACAATAATGCAATGTAAGAAGACATCGAATTTTAGTCAAGAATCGAGCGCACCACAAACCACAAACAGCACCATTGAAGTAGAACAAGATGATACTACGCGTTCGTCTACGATCTATGTCGTTTCATCGAACACACCAGCGAAAATACCTAGCTTGAATGAATCAATGACGCAGCTCGAAGTTACGACCAATTTGGAGACTCTTGCAAAAGAACAGCTACCAGTAAGGGTCGAAATGGACATTTACGCCGCAACGACGGATAGTAACATCGATCATTCGAATTCATTGCAGTAGGAACTTTTTTCTTCATGTCTAATTTACTTTTCACTTTTGCACACTGTTGCAGAAAATTTCCATTGACAATCGCTTTTGAAGAAGCTTCACTTTCATCGGAAAACACTGAAATTTTCGATCATTATTGGACACCACCAAATGAGATAGACGATGCCAATCACGAGGAAACAGATCCTATGCAATGCCAGAAACTGCAGAACCACATAATCAGCAAGAGAAACTTGATCGATCCTACTTCTACTGACAAGGAAAAAGACGTCTCCTACACTGCCGATCGATGGAACGGTGATCAACAAGACGAAACATCGGCGCAACCATTCAAGGAAGACAATGAAGAATTGAGCAACATGAGCAGTCGATTGAATCCACTCTTATCAGATGACGTACAACAACTGATTGAATCCGACGAAAAGACTCCACTATTGATTAGTACTACCTTGGCAGAATCCCATATGGTCACGCCGTTGTCTGCCTCCACCAGTACGAACACAACTGAAAGCGATAGTGACAAAGTATTGCCACAGCAAAGCAATAATGAACAGCAAATTTCGTCAGAATCAGCCTCCATTCATTCCAGTGAATGTTCAGATATTGGTAGCTCAATGAGGATGACATCATCGCCGAAAGATACATTATTAGGGACTCAAGCAGTGAATTCACTCTCGGAAGATGAACCGGAGATAGTGTCCAGATCCGCGTTCAACGATACATCGCCGATCAAAAACGAAAATGAACAATCATTTCTCGCCTCCGTTCGCCATCGATTTGGCGGGTTCATTTACAACTTCATTGAACCCTTCACTATGGGCATCACATCGTCGACAGCAAATATTAGCAGTCAACAAACGAGTGTAAACAGCGAATCACATACCCAAACAGTGGATGATAAAACAGACAATGGTAATAAACCACTGTCAACAAAGCGATCCACATCCACCGAGAAATCCGACGACGATCAAAATTCTGATAGTGACTATACTTCGAACACGCAAGGTATAATGATTCGACCAGCTGATGACGAATTTAAATATAACGAAGGAGATTCTCCGATCATCAAAAGTCTTGACTCAACATCTAACTACTAATGAATGCGATCAGTGATCTGTGATATTCTTTTAGTCAGTTGTGGTGAATGAAGAATTCGATTTTCTTATCGAATAGTAGTATTTTCATATACTATGAGGGGAGAGAAAAGAGGGTATACTCGGGAAAACATGTTTTTAAGGTTTTTTAACTGTTTTTTCAGTTTTAATTGATTTTTTGAATTCTACTATTTTTTTAATTATTTTTTGTCAAAGAGTTTAATTTTTCTTTGAGTTTGGCTGTTTTTAGCTGCTCATTTTGGGCGAAAAATGGGACTTTATGATGCAAACATGTGTTTGAGAAAAGCTTTTATTTTATATCTTATCCAGATTCACCTAATGATTTATGCTATTGTTTTATTTCGCTCTATTCATCAGAAAATACAAGAGTGTAATTAATATTTGCGTTTTAAGGTTCTCACATTGGACAAGAAAAAAAGTTTTATGATGAAAACAAACTTCCTCATAAGGCTCTCGATGATTGTATCTTGACTGGATTCAAAGTGTGTATTTTTCTATTATTCTAAGTACCATATGTTATATGATTCTAACTCTATGAACGAGAATCCCTTCAGCTAATGATTTTTTGTTTGTTCATTACTGTATTCAGCCGCTAGGGGTTAGTAAATTTTTATTTGCTCACTTGTAAGGTATGGAAAAAAGTTCTCCGACCTTTTGCAATCAGTATATTTTAGCAGCCATTGAAGTAATGACAACAAATAGATATTCATTTAAAAGAGCATTTAAAAGTGTATTTATTGGGTAAAAGTAACGGTTTTAATGCAAAAAGTAGAAGACGGTGAATAAATGAATTTGTTACATTCATTTTTGGTTCTCAAAACAAAATTCTGTAATATCGAACAATCAGATCATGAAACAGATATCTGTCATCTTGAATATTCATTTTTATTTTTTTAGCAATAGTAACAGGGCAACTGTACAATGAAAATAATCATATATTTATTCTTCACATAAAATCGACATTTACAATGTTGTTGCAAACTACTAACTCTACCTCCTTTTTTGTTTATAATTTCTTTCATTCTTAATGAGATTTGAGAAACATTATTATCACGACATTTTGCGTGATCTTGCTTAAATATTCAACCACTATTATCATTAAATAATGCTGTTGTTGTAATATCATCAGTTTCTTCTGCTCTTCCTTGCACATCAGTTAAAGTTGGTAATATCTCATTCACATATCGATCACCATCAATAGCGCCATTAATAAAAACCGATTGTGTTAATCCTTTACTTGTCATACCAACATAAACATATCATCCTTTCGAATGCTTTTCGACTTCCATAAACCTAATTCTTCACTGTCATCCACCTATCGTTCATGACGCTTTGGATTACGACTACTAGCTAATAAAAAAAAAATTTTTGAATCACTGGCTAAAATTTTGTCTCACCATGACAAATCGTGATCTTTATATTTTTTACCAAATTTTAATCCTGCTTTTTGATGATCAGCAGCTTATTTTGTTGCTATTGGTCCTACTTTCCACTGTAATTCAGCATCATTTAATATATTTTGTAATGCTGTATGACTTATACCCAACTCCAACCCGCGGCTTTCCTTAAACTAAAACTTTTGTTTTTTCTTTTTCTTAATACTTCTGTTTGAACTTTTCTTGAAATCTTGAAATTTCATGCCTATCTGTTCGAATACCATCAAGAAATGCTCTTGGATTATCAAATCGAATATTTTCCCATTTTATTATAGTGGTACGATTACGATTTAATCGTTTTCTAATTTGTTTATGAAAAACTCTATCTTGTTCCATTTGGTTAATACGCATATGAGTAATCGGATTTTCAAGCTGTCTAAGTGTAAGAATAATTTTCTCATTATTACTTGGTGGTAGAGAGTCATATTTGTTAAGATATATTCTTTCTCTGCTTGGTTTTAGCCATAGTTTGGGTTTCGTCTGTGTACAGTGTGACGGACAGTATAACCGCCAATTTCACCTCCTGCATGTCTGTTGAATACTCGATTAATGACTGCGCTTAAACACGGTTCATTGTCTATCTCTCCTATGTATCACTATCTTAACGGCACTTCTCACATCAACTTCGACACATAGAGTTCATTACTGTACATACTTTCCGTTTTTACTTTTTTAGTTTTATATTTTTGTGCGTATAAAAACAGTTCCTAAAAAACATTTAATGATATTCGCACATTTATATCTCTTATTTCTTGAACTAGAACCTTTATTTTTGCATAATAAGTACACTTTTAAATACCCTTTGCAATGACCATTTATTTGTTGTAATTACTTGAATGGCTATAAAAATATATCGATTACGGAAGGTTGGAGAACTTTTTTCTATATATTAGTTCGGAAGACGATTGAAATTACCAGTTTTGTCCATATATCCTTCAGTTGATTGAACTTATAATGATATCATTCATACAGAGGAAAATATATTTCTCATCTAGTTTTTAAATCTGATTTTGGTTTCCAATCATAGGAATCACTTCGATAATCTTCAACTTTCAAGTGTGATTTTGAGATATTTATAATCGTTTTGATCATATTCATGTATTCATGAAATGAGTTATTGAAAGAATCAATAGCTGACGTCGGAAAAGTCTCATCAATAGAAACTTGACTAATCTCTATGGTCTTTGGAACTACGTTCGAATAAATGTGAAATGATCATTGCGTCGATTGAGAGTTTGAACTGGAGCAGGAAGATTAGCTAGTCGTTGTTGAATTCTCTAAGTATTTCTCTAAGTATTGTCATTCTCAAAGTATTGTTAAAAAAATATACAACTCATTCTCTAAGTATTGTCATCAAGTGTATGGGAGTAAAGTATGAAATAGAACTATGGATCTATAAAGAAAAAAAGTTGAAAAGAAGTCTGTGTTGCGTTACTTTTGGCTCAACTTGTATCTATAATGAGCGCTTAAAAAATAGATGAGTAGTTTAATATTGATCAGTTGAACTACGTCACTCGATGACAAACTGTTTGTTATTAACATGACGAATTATAAGAGATCCATTCTGTTTTGACAGTATTCAGATGTGGATTCTCTGATCAGAAACAAAAGAAAACATGTTTTGTGAGTGAGACTGGTCAAGACATAACATCGGCTTTGTTCTTTTAGCATCATTCATTTTAGATTATTTCAATTTTAGAACGATTTTCGCATAAAAGTGTGTGATTGATTTTGGAGCATTGATATGTAAGGTCCTATTCTTCTTGAATGTCAAGATAATGGTCTTTGTTGCAGTAAGCACCAACAATCTTTGCTACAATATATGCAAGAGCCATCTTCGGTGCAATATTTGCACCAACAATCTCCATTACAATATTCGCACCAACCATCTTTGTTACAATATTTACACCAACCATCTCGCTTTGCTTCACAGAGGTCTGTTCGGTGTTGTCTAGTCGGCCGCCAGTGCGGTATTGTGCGTGATTTTGAAAATAAATAACCGTAGAATTTTTCCAAAATCCATATGTGTAGCCAGTAGAATGCTTCACGCCACTTTTCGTAGTTGAGCTGAGCAGCCGTGTATATTGGGCATCTCTCGCATCTTTGAGTATAGATCTTCATTTGAATTAGACCCTTTTCATACACGTTCCCATATTTGTCCGTATATTCGCCAAAGCGAGCTCGAAAAAGAATAGTACCGTATGCGGAAACCCAAAAGCGTTTGTCGTTCTCTGTTTTTATCTTCAAACATTCTTGGCATGGAAAACTACGATTTGAAATGAACGAATGTAGGTACAATTTTTCAAATGGTCATACATACAAGGCTTTTCCTGAATGTCGCCTGAAGTGCCAACCTTTAGATATATGTCGCTGGATTTTTTCTCTGTGTGTGCTTACATTTCTCGGCATTTTCATCAATGTCCATTCTGGTAGATTGTAAAATGCAAAGTCAGCAGAAAATAAGGCTGTGATTTCTTGGTTTGAAAGTAGAATAGGTATGGCATTAGCTGCCATGTCGATGAAGAAACTAAACCGATTCTAATCTATGGCGGACGCGATAGCGAACTATTTAAATACGAAGACTCTCTACTATGTGTGATGTAGAAAGAAAAGTGTTAGTTGCTTATCTTTGTGAGTCATATCGCCGACACACCAAATAATTGTGCTTTTTCGTCGATATTATCTTCGTATGTCTCATTCGTTACACAACATGTTTCCCGAGGTTTTGTATTCGACTGAATTGAAAGAAAACTATTCGAGTAGACATTTAAATAAATACTTTAGTTGACCTAATATTCAACGAAAATTGATACAAAATCTTGAAGTCTCGTTTAGATATAAGTGTGATCCAAATTGTTCATGATCACATAAGGGTGTGGGTGTTGATGTATGTTCATATTAAGAGTATTTTCTCTCACACCTACACCCACACCCAAGAGAGAACGCGGAACTTTATACTGACAGGATTATTTGAGCTACTTGGGAGCACTTCGAGCTACTTTGAAGCACTTTTCTGTAATTTTAAAGTACTCCTTTGTGGATTAGCAGCATTTTCGACCTAATTTAACCATACTTTATAGCATACTTGAAGTCTGCTTTCTCCCCTTGCTCACACCCCATACCCACACCCACATTCAGCTGCACTCCTTTGATACACCAAACGTTCACATTCACACTCAACCTCATTTTCATCTTCCCAATCTCGGTCATAGTTCCAGTTCACCTTAATCAGACTAATGAGATTGCTGGTATCGATATTCACTTCATCATCTCTAAACATGCCCCATTACTCTGCGCCTCTTCTTCATTATAATCTGTTCCTTAGAAGCACGAATAATAATTTTACAAAAGCAAAGCACAAATGAAAAATCGTTCTATTCCAAAATAAATGACACTCAAGCTTCAAAAATTTTCAAATTTATTTTAGGGGGTATCAACGCAGAATTTAGATAACGGTAAAAGGTATTTCTAGAATATCTGAAACAAAAGCAAAAAGCCTTGTATCAACTGACTGATTAGATAACGTATTAACATTAAGAAAATTCTTTCACTACGTGAAGAACACATCTTTTCCACGAAATAAGACAGACAAGAGACATGTGATACAGAACACGATTATCTTATCAGTCAGTAGGAATGAAGCATTAGCAACACGAGTGAGGCAAGGATGGTTTATGAACATCATGATAGAGTAGAACCCACAGAAAAAATCTTCAGAGGTGTTTTATCGAAAACGTACCAAAGTTTACATCGACTTTCTGCGAATGGAATAAAACTCTCTGAATTTGTAGAATTTGTGAATGTAAGCATAACTGTAGATTTTAAAACTTTTAAAAACCTTGTGAAAACGTCTAAATAAGGAGGAACAATCCGGAGTCTCCTAGTCAAAACCTAATTTCTGGAATTTCTCCATTCGAAATGATAGAAAGCTGAAACGCTTAGATTATATACTATTCGATGAGACGATTGTTTCATTAAGCGAGAACTTGAGGGTGTGGATGTTGGAAATACGAAGATCTACACTCATACCCAAGATGAGATAAAGATAATAACATGGATTCTATTGTTATATTTTTTCTGTATCATCTTCACCGACATCAATCCATGATAACGGTCGAAGATTAGAAAGTTCAGCAAATAAAAAAGACAGAGACATGTTTTGATTAGAGGGAAAACTTCCGTTTCACCAGAGTATTTCACAGACTAGAGTTCCAAATTCATCAGATGATGAACTTGAAACAAGACCACAATATCGTTATAAGTGATTTGGAATCCAATCATTTCTTTTCTACGCTCATTCATTAGTGAAAAAATGAGACCTAGGGTATAATTTATATAAGAAAAACAAGCATACTATTTATTTAAGGTATACACGTGAAAAAGACTGGTGGTACACATCTTTTCTAAACACCGTTTTCACGAGTGATATAAGATTTGTTTGAGAAATTCTCAAGAATAAATTATTTTAATTGAATTAAATACAGAAAATGATCTATAGAAACCTACAAACATTTATTCAATTATTTTAAGCAATCTTACCAGTTATATCTTGTGCCCAGACTAATGTTTGCATATGAACGGAAAGTAATGCTAGAAACTCGAACAAACTGTGAGTCGTACGATTTAAACTATTAACACACACTGTAAGATTATTAGAAATCGTTGCTAGTAAAAGAATGATTTCTTTCGACTACCAAGATGTTTGACAACAGAATGCCTAGTAGGATGAAAGTTGGAATCAAGCTCAATCTCATTGCCATTCATCACGTGCTCACATATCTTTGCACATGGTAGAATTATTTCCTTTTGTATATTTTC